GAGAGTAACAGTGAGATTGGAAGTGAATGATTTAGTGCGAGAGAGTAACAGTGAGAGTGGAAGTGAATGTGATAGTGCGAGAGGGTAACAATGAGATTGGAAGTGAGTGATTTAGTGCGAGAGAGTAACAGTGAGAGTGGAAGTGAATGAGGTAGTGCGAGAGAGTAACAGTGAGAGTGGAAGTGAGTGAGGTAGCGTGAGAGAGTAACAGTGAAAGTGGAAGTGAATGAGGTAGTGCAAGAGAGTAACAGTGAGAGTAAAGTGAGTGATGTAGTGTGAGAGAGTAACAGTGGGGTGGACGTGAATGAGGTAGTGCGAGAGAGTAAGAGTGAGAGTGGAAGTGAATGAGGTAGTGCGAGAGAGTAACAGTGAGAGTGGAAGTGAATGAGGTAGTGCGAGAGAGTATCAGTGGGGGTGGAAGTGAATGAGGTAGTGCGAGAGAGTAACAGTGAGAGTGAAAGTGAATGAGGTAGTGCGAGAGAGTAACAGTGAGAGTGGAAGTGAATGAGGTAGTGAGAAAGTAACAGTGAGAGTAGAAGTGAGTGATGTAGTGCGAGAGAGTAACAGTGAGAGTGGAAGTGAATGAGGTAGTGCGAGAGAGTAACATTGGGGGTGGAAGTGAATGAGGTAGTGCAAGAGAGTAACAGTGAGAGTGGAAGTGAATGAGGTAGTGCAAGAGAGTAACAGTGAGAGTGGAAGTGAATGAGGTAGTGAGAAAGTAAAAGTGAGAGTAGAAGTGAGTGATGTAGTGCAAGAGAGTAACAGTGAGAGTGGAAGTGAATGAGGTAGTGCAAGAGAGTAACAGTGAGAGTGGACGTGAATGATGTAGTGCGAGAGAGTAACATTGGGGGTGGAAGTGAATGAGGTAGTGAGAAAGTAGCAGTGAGAGTAGAAGTGAGTGATGTAGTGCGAGAGAGTAACAGTGAGAGTGGAAGTGAATGAGGTAGTGCGAGAGAGTAACATTGGGGGTGGAAGTGAATGAGGTAGTGCAAGAGAGTAACAGTGAGAGTGGAAGTGAATGAGGTAGTGAGAAAGTAAAAGTGAGAGTAGAAGTGAGTGATGTAGTGCAAGAGAGTAACAGTGAGAGTGGAAGTGAATGAGGTAGTGAGAAAGTAAAAGTGAGAGTAGAAGTGAGTGATGTAGTGCAAGAGAGTAACAGTGAGAGTGGAAGTGAATGAGGTAGTGCGAGAGAGTAACAGTGAGAGTGAAAGTGAATGAGGTAGTGCGAGAGAGTAACAGTGAAAGTCGAAGTGAATGAGG